AAAAGAAGGCTGTCAGACTCTCAAAATTCTGCAGGCAGGAAACTAGCTGATAAAAGTGCTTAGCTGCAAACGTATGCTACCCGACAAGGAAAAGGGAGGATGGCTTCAAGGTGGGAGCTGTGAGCCTAGAGACCTGAGGCCAGGCACACAGGTTGGAGTCACAGGTGCAAAGTCCAGAGTCATGAGTGCAGAGGTCCGCAACTGCATAATCAGAGGATAGAGCCTCAAGCCACAGAGGATTATTCCCAGACCTTAAAATCTAATGGAATTGCCCTGCTGGATTTTGAATTTGCATAGGAACAGTGACTACTTTCTTCCATTCTCTCCCTTTTGGAGTGGGAATGCCTACAACTGTTATCCTATGCGCATTTCACCACTGTATTTTGGAAGCAATTAGCTTGTTTACTAGTTTCATAGGAAACATTTAATAAGTTTCTAAGTGCTTCCTGATCTTCCCAATCAATCCCACTGACTTTTCCCTAAATCTCAGCCGTTCTCCAGTACCCTGCACCAATTTATTGTCTGTAATCCTTGTTACTCAGATTCAGTGCTTCTGAATTTGTGCTCTCAGAGAACACATACCCGAAATGGAATGTGGGTATGCTAAGAGGATGCCCATGATGAGGCATGATGGCGCAGAAACCAAACTGTTAGAAACAGAGTAACAAATGGCATTTAGACAAATCTAATTTCTTTTGTTTTATCTCATCATATTAAAATGTCAATTTGGTATACATTTTATAATACAGTTGTACATGTATGTAATTTATAAATTAATGGATAAACTTATATTAGGGAGTGTCTTACAACACTTTTTTTTTTTTTTTTTTTTTATCAATAGGGATGTATAGTCAAGAAGTTTAGAGACCACTTTTCCTGTCCAGTCATTGTTAAGTGAGGTCCAGACTCCCGTTGCCCAAACCTAACCCTGTTTTGAACTCAGTCCTTAGATTGTGATAATTAAATAAATAACTTTTTTTTTTTTATAAAATGGCTTATAGCAACTTTTAGATGTCATATTTTGCAGTGTGGCATTCTAAGAGTTTATTAGTTTATCTTTTTCTAGTTGTAATCATAAAGAGCTAGATAATGATCTGTTTATTGATATACTTTAAATGTGGCAAATATATGACATGAAAGTATTGCTTCTTATTTGTGGATTAACATTGTATTATAGACTTTAAACATTCAGCATTAATTTATTAAGATACTGGCTAATGCTGATATTCTCTGCTGGAGTTATCCAGGCAATGTGCTGGAGTTGGCCCTCACCGTTGTATGAGAGCCAGCTGTGTGTCCCTTCCACATGGCAGCCTGAAGTTGGTGGTGATGGGAGTGTTTACACAATGCAAAAGAGAAAATGCTACAGGTCAGGGCTTGCTTTTCCTTCCCCCATCCTACCCAAGGAGCCTGTTTTGTACTGTAAGGTTTTTCAGGACTAATCTCCTTTTCCCAAATCGTTCTGTTGAACATGGGACTTTAGATTCCTTATGAAAAAGTGTTATATGGTCAAATTTGTTTCAGAAATATTGCATATAGAAATGTACATAATATTTATGAACATTCTAAAATCTCTGATACTTTGTACTGTGAAGAAAGGTTTTTTATTTTATACAGCTTAGCGTTTTCAAAACTTTATAAGTATATTCACAGAACTTGTTTTTGTGTTACATGTATTATTAACTCATTAAATTAATATTTTGCAGAGTACTCTTTGAGAAATATAGATATGGATCATGTTTATTACTTACTGACTCAAAGTGTGTTTTATTTTCAGCCCTGCCAAGGTAACCCTGCTGGGGTCAGTTATCTTCACATTCCAGCACACCAAGCATCTGGCAATATCAAAGCATAATCTTATGTTCTGCTATACCATATTTCTCGTGACCACAAAGGTAAGAGTTCAGAGTAGCAGGGAATCAAGATTACAAATTCTGTGTAACCAGAATTCTGCGTACAAGGCAAGTAACAGGAACATTTATTTTTTATTGTTATTACAGTCTAAAAAGGCGAACTTTGGGGAATTTATTCAGCACATCCATGGCTTTCTGAAACATAGTTCTCCTATGATTCCTCATTTGATTTATGCTGAGGCTATCAGAAAAGACTTGCAGATGGCCTGATAGTGTTGTCTCAATTGTAAAATGAGGTACTTGGGTAGATGTTTTCTGAGGTTCCTTTGAGCTTTAAAATTTTGAACTTTATAATTTGGACATATTTGTGGTCAGTCTTTTCTGTTATTATTGTCTGGTTGGAAACTTTATTCCTTCTGAAGGATAGAAGATAGTATGATGTAAGATCACAGTTTTTAGAGACAAGTAGTCTTAAGTTCAAACGTAGCTTTGTTCTCTAATCCCTGAATGGGCAAGTCACTCAGTGTCTCTGAATCCCGATTTCCACGTCGTCATTGTACGATCATTGAAAGGATGGGAGATGATGTATGTCATTCTATCACTGTGTCTGCCACATCTTATGAATTATATTTGCGGCTTTATCATGAAGCGAATTCTGATAATTGTTATTCTTACCATTATTAGATATTGTTCCTTATTCACAGCTAGACAGTTGATTTTAAAATAAGATGATCATTGAATCCTAGAGAAATTTTATAGCTAATTAACTCTATCACAGCCTAGATATTTTTGGCTAAAAACTTATCTATAGGATTCTTAAAGGAAGCGGTTTATATTTTACATAAATTTATATCTTAGAGAGAACCAAGTCACTATAGGGATCATTTATTTCTGTTTCAGTAATCTCTGCAATGGAGGTGTTCTGTGGCGATAATTCAAGTAATGCAAATATCTGAGGCAAAAATCTCTTCACATGTGCCCTCCTCTTCCAGTCCTCAAATTTTGAGCTGTATGTATTTCTTTGTAACAGCCTTACTGAGATATATGTATACATGCCATACAATTCATCCATTTAAAGTGTACGATTCAGTGGTTTTCAGTCTTGTCACAGAATCGTATAGCCATTACCACCATCAATATTAGAATCTTTTCATCTCCCCAAAAATAAACCTCATACCCATTATCAGTCGCTTCACATTTTCCCTCAATCCCTCCAACTGTAAGCAACCACTAATCTACCTTCTGTTTATAAATTTGCCTATTATGACATTTCATGTAAATGGAATCATACAATATGTGGTCTTGTGACTGGTTTCTTTCACTTAGCATAATGTTTTTGAGGTTCATTCATGTTGCAATGTGTATCTTTATGTTATTCTTTTTTATTGCCAAATAATATTTCATTGTGTGGATAGACAACATTTTATCCATCAGTTGATGGATATTTGGGTTGTTTTACTTTTTGGCTAATATGAATAATGAGCTATGAACATTCATGTACAAGTTCTTGTGTGGATGTGTTACATTTCTCTTAGGTATATCATATAGGAATGGAATTACTAGATCATATCGTATTCTATGTTTAACCTTTTGAGGAATTAACTAAAGTGGCTTCATCATTTTGCATTTCCTCCAGGAATATATGAGAGTTCTAATTTCATTATGTCTTTACCAATGCTTATCTTTTTTTATTAGAGCTATCTTATGTGACATCTCATTGTTATTTTGATTTAGATTTTCCTGATGACTAATGATGTTGAGTTCTTTTCATGTGCTTATTGGTCATTTGTATATCTTCTTTGGATAAATGTCTATTCAGATCATTTGCCCATTTTTTATTTCGTTATTTGTCTTTTTAATGATAACTGCAAGATTTTTTAAAATATATATTCTGAGTATTAGACACTATTACATTTCTGGTTCTCAGATGTTTTCTCCCATTCTGTGGGTTGGCTTTTCACTTTCTTGACAGTGTCCTTGGAAGCCCAAAATTTTAAAATTTTGATCAAGTCCTAATTTACCTTTTTTTTTGTCATGTATGCTTTTGGTGTATCTAAGAAACCATTGTCAAATCTAAGGTCAAAAAGTTAGCTCTATGATCTATTTTGAGTTAATTTTTGTGTATGGTATGAAAAAAAGTATCTAACCTCATTCTTTTACATGTGGATATCTAGTTATCCCGGCACTTTTTATTGGAAAAGACTATTCTTTGCCTCGTTGAATTGTCTCGGCACCCTTGTTGAAAATCAATTAACTATAAATGTAAAGTTTTATCCCATTCATCTATATGCCTATCCTTGTGTTAGTACCACACCGTCTTAATTATTTTGGCTTTGTAGTTAGTTTTGAAATTGAGAAATGCAAGTCCTCTGAGTTTTTCTTAGGGTCGTTTTGACCATTCTGGGTCACTTAAATTTCCATATGAATTTTAGAATTAACTTGACAATTCTGCAAAGAAGGCCAGCTCATATTTTCATAGGAATTGCGTTGAATCTTTCTTTATAGAATCAATTTGGAGAGCCTTGTCATCCTAACAATATTAAATCTTCCAATCCATTAACGTAGATGTCTTCCCTTTTTTTTAGGCCTTCTTTAATTTTTTTTTAAAGATTTTTTTATTAAAATATAGCTAACATAATATTGTATTAATTTCAGGTGTACACCATAGTCATTTACCATTTATGTGCCTTAAGAAGTGATTACCATGATAAGTCCAGCAACCATCTGACACTGGACGCAATCACAGTATTATTGATTATATTCCTTAGGCTGTACACCACATCCCCATGGCTTGTTTTATAACGGGAAGTTTGAACCTCTTATTCCCCTTCACCTTTTTTCTCTCTCTTTTTTTATTTTAAAATTACAGTTGACATTCAGTTTTATTTTATATTAGTTCCAGGTGTGTACGGAGTGGTTAGACATTTGTATAATTTATGAAGTGATCCTCCTAACTAGTACCCACATGGCACTATACATAGTTATTACTGTATTATTGATTATATTTCCTATGCTTTACTTTACATTCCCAAGTACAAACTACCAATTTGTACTACTTAATCCCTTCACCCTTTTCACCCTTCCACCGACCTCCTCTCCCATCTGGCAACTATCAGCTTGTTCCCTGCATCTATGAGTTTGTTTCTGTTTCATTAATTCATTTATTTTGTTCTTTAGATTTGACATATAAGTGAGATCATATGGCGTTTGTCTTTCTTTATCTAACTTCTTTCATTTAGCATATCTCCCAGGTCTATCCACGTTGTCACAAATGGTAAGATTTCATTCTTTTTTTTTTTTACGGCTGAGTAATATTCCATTGTATATATGTACCACATTTTCTTTATCTGTTCATCTATTGAAAGGCATTTAGGTTGCTTTCATATCTTGGCTATTGTAAATACTGCTGCAATGAACATAGGTGTGCATATATCTTTTTGAATTAGTGTTTTGGATTTTTTTGGATAAATACCCAGAAGTAAATTTTTTTCAATAGCGTTTTTAGTGTACATGTCTTATACTTCTTTTGTTAAATTTATTCTTAAGTATTTTATTCTTTTTGATGCTATAGTAAATAGAATTGTATTTTTATTTCAGGTTGCAAGCAGATGTGTAGAAATAAAATTGATTTTTGTATATTGATGTTATATTCTGTAACCTTACTGAACTCCTCTATTAGCTCAGTAAGGTGTTTGTGTGTGTGTGTGTGTGTGTGTGTGTGTGTGTGTGTGTGTGTGTGTATGCCTTAGGACTTTCTATATTCAAGATCATATCATCTGCAAATAGGGTAGTTTTACTTCTTCCTTTCTAATTCGCATGTCTTTTTTTATCATTTTCTTGCCCTGGGTAGAAGCTCCAGTACAGGGATGAATAGAAATAGAGAGAATGAACATTCTCGTCTTCTTCCTGATCTTGGGGAGAAAGTGCTCAGTCTTTCACTATTAATTATGGTATTAGCTGTAGGGCTTTTGTAGATGCCCATCATCAGATTGAGGAAGTCAGTTTCCTTCTACTCTTAGTTGGTAGGGTGTTTTTATCATAAGACTGTTGAGAATTACATAATTTTTTATTTTCTAACTTTAATCTTTAAAGAAAATGAACATATATTGTGGGTTTCATAAGAATAAGTAGGTCTGGTATCAAATTTTTGAATTGCAAAGGTCAGTTTTCATTGAAGGCCTAATTTGTGGAATAAAAATGATAATTTTTCTTACAATTATTGCCAGACATGTAATTCTTTATTATAGCATCTAAACTTAAACACTACATTACAAAGTGGTAATGAAAAAGGTAATTTAAAATATAATAACTTATAATATTGAACTTTTCTCATAATATTCCTCAACATTTTCCTAATTAGAATATTATCCCCCTAATTAGAATAATGTTCCTCAACATTTTCCTCAATATTCACCAATTTCTAAATAGAGTATTAATTTTTGACTCATTCATTTGCCTAAATTCTCTTTAGATTTATACTGATTTTTAAATGGCTTGTCATTTGCTTCTGAGTAGCCACTATGGTTTTTTTATTTCTTAGATATGAAAAACGAATTTACAAAATATACAGAGAAAAGTTTGCCAATAATTTTTTTTTTTTACTTTGCTCTTTCTTGTATTATTTATATAGTCAGAAAATTTGCATTGTGTGTTTGTTTTGGATAATAATCCAGTGTGTTGGCGTATACAAAGATGCTAATAATACAAGCATAAAAGTAATGAGAGTTAGAAAGAGAACATAAATGCCCCCAGCATTGCTTAACCTCTGGTATCTCTTGTCATCTCAACCCACTAGAAGCCACTATGTGGTAAACCTGAGGTAGTCTCACTCTTGACATGTACAGCCTAGTCCTAAGCCAAGGACTTGTGGCACCATCCCATAAAGATACCAGGAGTCTCCTTTCTTGGCTCTCAAGCCTGCCTGGCTTCCTCCTCTCGGATTCCCTGCCCTGCAGATTCTGGTCAGTTTCTGCCACCTGTTTCTGCCGCCTGTTTCAGTTCCAGCTCTGCTCTGAGGCAGAAATGAGGGTGAATGTGGGGAC